TTTGAGTTGAATCAGTTTTAATAACCTTACTTCTAATTTAATGATGAAACGGTTTGAATGCATGACACGCGGAAGTGCGTGGCTTAGTGATATTTCCCTCAATAGAGCGTGTAAACAAACTACAAAAGAGAAGGCTTTTTAAAAGTTTGCTCTTTTAGATTAATGTAAGACAAAAAGTAAATATCTATAAAAAAATTGATATTTTTCATCTATATTGAGTTCATAAAGTTAATCAAAATGTCGACTCCAGCCACCTTCTCCTCTATATGTAAGGGACTTTAGTACTTTCCTTCAAATTTAAGGAGTTTAAACCCTAATGTATACATAATGCATCAATTTCGGTAGACGGAAAAAAAGGTCCCTGGAAAAAAAGGTCCAGGTAAAAAAGGTACCTCCATAGGGAAAATCTGTAGGGATATTTCCACTCGCTTTCTGGGCAGCATGAATGCTTCTCACTGTTTCAATGAATATTCTTTTCATCTGCAAGAATTCAGATTAGATCATTCAGGTAAGGAGAAGGGTAAGGGCTGGTTGCATTACGCTTTTTTTTTTTAAATTTTATTTCATTTATTTATTCTTCTTTGATTATTTTTTAAAGCGGCAAGATACTATTTAAATTTTTCAATAATGTTTTACGTTTTTTTTGTAAATTTTTTAAGTGAAAAATGTGTCATTTTCTATTTTAAATTATATTTTGTGAAGGAGTTGCTAATGTGAGGCTTAAAGTAACCAATCGGGGAGGATTTATGTGTTGGATGTTTATTGACTTTGAAAACGCGCGACGCACGAAAAAAAAAAAAAAAACATGCACGGAACAGCAAAAAGAGCTTCAATCTAATCTTCTCACTTCAAATACTTTCCCCTACAGAATTTTCCCTATACAGGTACCTTTTTTACCGGGACCTTTATTTCCGTACCTTTTTTTCCGGGACCTTTTTTCCGTACCTTTTTTCCGGTACCTTTTTTTCCTAGAATCATCAATTTCATCTTCTGTAATAGTAGAATTGTTATCGATTGTGACTGCAGGTCTCGAAATATATAGGCTTTATACATAAAATGTTGAATTTCTCTGATAACTCTAACATCATAATAAAAATGATTAAAACAGGGACCCCAGCAAAAAAGATAAGATATAAGGGACTAAATGATTTTACATTTCTACGAGAGGCCTCTAAAAAACTTAAAAACTTCTATTTTAGTAAAACCAAATCACTAAGTTATGAAGTTATGTCACTTAGTTTTTTGACATTATGAATTCAAGCTGTAATAAATTTGACAAAAAAATAACTCTCACAAAAATTAAAATTCGAAGTTCTTTAAAAGTTTTCAAAAAAATAATAATAATAATTATGATAAACTCTCTACTTCAAAAGTTTTAAAAATCAACCAACCACCTAAACAAATTCAGGTCCTATTCAGTTTTAAAAACTGATCATAAATGTGCTTCTTTTATTTACACGTTCAAAATATAAGTTTGATTTCAAAAATATCTCCTTCTAAAAAAGACTTCCCTGCCCCAATTATAAAAGTTTTCCGCTAAATAAATCTAATCAAAATTATCCCTTAAACCTATTTTACTTTATTAAAATTGCAAAACAAAGTATCTAAATGTTAAAAATGTAAACTAATTCACGTCCTATTCAATCTAACAAAATTGGTCATAAATGAGTTTCTTTTACTTATAAGATGAAATATATATTAATTATGATTGCAAAAATATCTTCTTCATAAAAAGACTTCACTCCCCCAATTTTAAAAATTTTTCCTGATAAATTATAAAAATTATCCCCTAAACCTATTTTACTTTCGGAGGACTGCAAAACAAAGTATACAAATATTAAGGTATCACCTTTCACACGAAAATGTCTAATTGTGATTTACCATACTTGATACCTCCCCATCTCTGCGTGACGTCACAAAGTACGAATAGTATTAAATCATTACCTTTTAAAATCATTATTAAGGAATCTGCTTCTCTTACATTTTCCTTCTTAAAATGTGAGGCTTTCAACTTAACTCAGTAATTACATACTTGAAGCAAATTAGAGAATTAATTTCTTTAGTGTTAAAAAACAGATTCAAAAAGAAAAATGAATATTTTTTTGATTAGATATGTTCCCATAATATATTTTAAACTTTTATTTTCTTATAATGTTTTATTTATTATTTTCTTATAAATTTTGATAACAAAAAGTAAATGAAGATTTTGAATCGTAACAAAACTATAAAAAAGGAAACGAGAGGGATAGGGAACAATAAGAACATGTGCTAGAACAAAAAAATTGCTAACAGGGCAGCAGCAACGGCATTTCAATCTACTTCTTTATCATTAAGTAGATGCATAGAGGTGGTCACAAAAAGAAGGATGGTCACTGGGTAGAAACACATGATCTCTATGAATAGAAAGGATTGCACTCTTTTACAGTAATAGTAACCGTATGTAACTATTGTTAGTGCATTGCACATCCTGGTGAATCATTCAGTCAAATCAATCATTTCATGTCAAAACCAAATTGTGCCATTTCTTTTACATTCTGCACCTGAACTTACTTGAGCTACCAGAGCTATCATTCCTTTAAATTGGAAAGAAAAGCTGATAACCAACCTACAGCGCTGTGCCGTAGCTTAATATTAATTTTTGTAAAAGCATAACTATGGAATATTTGTCGCCTCAAGAATACAGATTCTTTATTACTGCATGCTCGAAAATCAAAATTTCGTTTGGTCCATTTTGCTCCATCGAAGAACAATTCATGCGTCACCTGTTCAACGTATTTATCAATTTGAAAAATCCCGAGGAATTGAAATCTCTTCTGGAACTTTCTAATGAAATGAGGGTTGATTTTTTAAGGATGTTCAAAGATAAACCTTTTATGGACGGTGATTTATCTCACTGCTGTTTGATGAATAACCCTACGAGTTTCAAGTTAATCACGGATTTTGGAAGACTTAATGAATATCAGAGGCGCATGGGTGGATTGTATTTATTGCATACAGCGAAGTTTTTGCAAGAGTAAGTATTTTTCCATTCTTATCCATGTCTACTTATTTTTACCTGAATTTAAANACAGGAAACAATAAGAACATGTGCTAGAACAAAAAGATTGCTAACAGAGCAGCAGCAATGGCATTTCAATCTATTTCTTTATCATTAAGTAGATTCATAGAGGTGGTCACAAAACGAAGGATGGTCACTGGGTAGAAACACATCATCTCTATGAATAGAAAGGATTGCACTCTTTTACAGTAATAGTAACCGTATGTAACTATTGTTAGTGCATTGCACATCCTGATGAATCATTCAGTCAAATCAATCATTTCATGTCAAAACCAAATTGTGCCATTTCTTTTACATTCTGCACCTGAACTTACTTGAGCTACCAGAGCTATCATTCCTTTAAATTGGAAAGAAAAGCTGATAACCAACCTACAGCGCTGTGCCGTAGCTTAATATTAATTTTTGTAAAAGCATAACTATGGAATATTTGTCGCCTCAAGAATACAGATTCTTTATTACTGCATGCTCGAAAATCAAAATTTCGTTTGGTCCATTTTGCTCCATCGAAGAACAATTCATGCGTCACCTGTTCAACGTATTTATCAATTTGAAAAATCCCGAGGAATTGAAATCTCTTCTGGAACTTTCTAATGAAATGAGGGTTGATTTTTTAAGGATGTTCAAAGATAAACCTTTTATGGACGGTGATTTATCTCACTGCTGTTTGATGAATAATCCTACAAGTTTCAAGTTAATCACGGATTTTGGAAGACTTAATGAATATCAGAGGCGCATGGGTGGATTGTATTTATTGCACACAGCGAAGTTTTTGCAAGAGTAAGTATTTTTCCATTCTTATCCATGTCTACTTATTTTTACCTAAATTTAAAACTTTCCTAAACAATAACTTGTTTGAAAGGAGAACTATTGTAAGAAAATTAATTTAATCACTAATCAGGAATACATAGCTGCTAATTTTACTTGATTTTGCCAGTTCCTCTTGGTGTACTGGTTTAATAAAAAATTTTCTTGTTTTTGTACATTTTAAAAAATTCCTTAAAATTGAGTAAGTTTCCTAAAAAAATTACTAATGAAATATAATTTTTGAATAGAAGATTGCTTGCTTGCTTGAATATGTAAATAAGTATTACTAATACATAATGAAAAGAATCTCATTTATAAAAATCAGTTTAAAACTTTTCTTGCTCTAAAATGCTCAGTTTATTTTTATTCAGGGCTCTCTTTTTAAATTTATTAGAAAAATCTTTTACTTATCTTTGATGAATTAGATGCCTATTTATGTACGAAATTATGAATAAACACAATACATAGTTACATTTCAAGTATGTTTAATGTCAATCATAACTGAAAAGTGTTGCACTTTTACTATTTTGATGACTATAAAAATCCCTAAAATTCCCTATGTGTAACATATTTAGAACATTAGGCAACAATTATCAGGAAATTTATCCTATTTCTTGTAACCTACTGAATATTTTCCTTTCCATGTTGACAGCTGTGGGTTTTTTTTTTTTGTAGATTAATTTAAAATTCATACAGTATTATTAATTTCAAAAATTTAATCTGTTCTAAAGAAAATTAGATCCAATTTATTAATTTTTCTTCTTATTCTCTTTTCAAAAAAATTATTTCATAAACAAAAATATAAGTGATATGTGAATCAAACAATTCTTCCAATAAGAGCAAAATTTAAGCTATAAAATATTTCAATTATTTTCGTCATATTTTAGTGCTGAATACTGAAAAAAATGCTTTTAAAGATCAATTTAAAAACAGAAATTATCAACATAAAGCACATTCTTAGGTCCAGATCTGCAGCATTCACATGTATAAAGTTTTTTGGACATTTAACTAAGATAATATTTATTTCTAAGATGATATTATTTAATGATATTTATGTAAGTTGTTTTCTCTATATTTTTTTAGAATAATTTAAAGTCATTAAATATATTTCATTCAATTTATACTTGAAATTTTTTACATATTTTAAAAGTATATAACATAATTTCCCAATGTCATTAGGTTTTTCAAAATTTTTTTTAAAATATTCATTAGTCTTTTTCGCTATCTAGCTATCCAATTTTGTTTCGAATAGCTATAATTCGAAAAATAATATTACATTGTTAAGTTAAAAAAAATTATAATAACCATGTATAACATACAATATACTCTAATATACAATACACTCTAATATACAATAAATGTTAGGTTATAATTTTAGAATTAACAATGTGTTTAGATTATACTTCGTTAAATAAGAAACATATTTAAATATGGCACGCTGGAAGATATATATACATATATTTTAATTTGTGTAAATATATATATATTTCCTTTTATGTAAACTTAATTTTTATCTTAGACTAAATCAGATGACTTGTTAAAATTAAAAGTCATTTTAAAATGAAAATTAATTCCTTCATTTGTTTTAATTTTTTTCATCCCTTGTCCTTTATCATGAAAATTGAATTAATTTTTCTCCTTGGAATAAAGCAGAAAAATCTGAAGACTTGTTAAAATTCAAAGTCATTTTAAAATAAAATTCAGTTTGAGAAATCAATCTCTTTTACGTCCTTCCTTTGTTTTATTTTTTTTATACCTTGTGCTTTATCTTTAAAATTAAATTAATATCATAAAGTTAATTTTAATTTTTTGTATACTGAAAATTTATATTCATGATTAAATTCAAATCTATGTCAGAATCAATATGTAAATCACAAATTATTCCTGATTCAATATGTTTTTGCGGAGCGAAAAACCATTTCATGTCATTATGATTAAAATGCATCTATAAAATGTCTTGCTCATCATTAACGAATTTAAAGGAGTAAAATTACAAATGTAATTAAATGTTAATGCACTTTTTTCTTTTTAATTTGTTTTCGGTTGATAAATCATTTTTTGTTAACTAATTTGTTGGTGTAATAGTTAAATCATAGTCATAAACAACGGAAATAATTTATATAATTACAATTAGTTAATTACAATATAAATAATGCAACTCATTTTAAAATATTAGATCGGACGAAGTTTATGACTTTGCATTCAGAACATATCCTTAAAAAGGATAACCCTATAGCCTTTGTAACTCTGTGAGGGTCATCTTGACCATCATTTAGTAGCAAGTGTTCCTTTGTAACACTCCTTACAATGCCCTTTGTTCATTTTTGGGGGAATAAGTTCGTGGCGAACCGTACCAGTCATCCTCTGTAACTCTGTGGGGGAAACATTTTGAGCTTGTTAGGTGAGTCATCTTGACCATCATTTAGTAGCAGGTATTCCTTTGTAACACTCCTTACAATGCCTTTTGTTCATTTTTGGGGGAATAAGTTTGTGGCGAACAGTACCCGTCATCTTATATCGAATGTATATTGCAACCCCAGATGGAAATCAGCATGAAGTCCGCTATGCATTCAATAGGTTAAAAAGATACATACACAACTTATGGAAATTTCTTATGGAAGGGAATACTTATATCACTCATACTTTTATTGTATGAAAATTCTATTCACTCTTTTTTTTGTCCACTTGGGTGAGTTTTTTTACTAACAGGCAAAAATTGAAAGACTGTTTTAAAGTTGCACCTTTTCGTTTAAATTACTCTAGTATTTTCATAAAATTGAACCTCGCGCTATAACATCCGTTTTCCCTTGCGTAGAGGGGGTTGTTTTAAAGAGCGTCGATTGTATTTTATCAGGAATATTGAGAATTACAAAATGAATAGTCAAATGTTTCATCAGAAATACACTGTGAATTAATCAACAGATCTTTTCATGATCTATTATTCAGTATGCATTTCATGAAAATAAATACTTATCTTGTAACTTTTAATAGTTTATAGCCATTTTTGGTGACCAAAAGAATACAGTACAATTAATGTCTTTTTTTTTTCTTATTTCGCCTTACTACCCGCCCTTCTGGCTTTTAACTTTACGTCATTACATATTGTCACAAGAGTCAGGATTTGCACCAATCACAATCTTAATTCTCATAAATAGCGTAGTTTCGTAATTTAACTAATGGCCCTAATGTTCTTATTATAATTTTTTGCCATAACGGTACTGACATCTCTTTTTGATCTGCTACAAATTATAACGTGCTTCGATTGGAACTTTCCCTATTATTATTTGTTACGTTTATCAGAGACATTGGAGTGTTCTGTAAAAGCTGTTCGTAATTTTTGCAGTGGCCGAATTTATAATTCATTCCAAAACTGATGTCAAAAAAAATTTCGCTCGTTAAAGGTTAGAAATTAATATTTCAGAGAGGAATAAACAAAATGGATTATCTTAATCTAACGAATAGCTGCAGAAGAAGGAGAGGCTAAAAATTTCTGTTTGATCGTAAGCGAATGTTGAGTGGAGTTAAAAGGGGATCATTGAAATCACCTTCAGGTCGCATCAGGAAATCAAACTAGTCTGAACGTTAATTATTTTACTTCCTTGACTAGTGATAAAACAGCGTGTGATGTCGCATTTTACTTCCCAACTTAAAGAATTATTTTAAATGTCTCATTTGCTTTGTTCTGAATTAGAATTCAGCAAAAATATTTATCTCTCTTTTTTATGATACATATTATATATTTTTATAATTCTTGCAAAAGTGTGATAAAAGTATACTACGTTTATTAGGATTCTGAAGGAGAAAGAATAGACAGATCTTTGAAATCTGATCAATCACAATTGATGTAAGTAAAAGCAAAGAGAGGATTAAAATAATATAAAAACTTTTATTTGAAAATGAAGCTGAAATGCGAATGCTGTCCAGCTTCGCTAGGCAATTGGATACTTGCAACAAAGACAGATAAGCTGTAGTTCTAATGATTGGATTTTCATGTACTGAGTGTCAATCGTAATAGTTCCTGGAGGTGACCTCAGATATGTAAATTATTTAGTGCTAACTATTAATTAAGTTACGAAATCGGACACAAAAACGTTCTTTATCTGAAAAAAACATTTTTTTAAAATATATTTAGATTCTTAACCTTCAAAATATAGAGGGTAACAGCTATCTGTGAAACATGGTCCCCATAGTTGGGTCAGGCAGGAGAACGATCCAAAGTTCGGACACCTTAATGTTAATTTCACTTTTTCTGAAAAAAACGTACTTTTTCTACTTTTACTTACGTACGTACTTTAACGTACTTTTCTGAAAACAACACTTTTTTTAATATATTTGAATTCCTAACCTTCAAAATATAGGGGGTAACAGCTATCTGTGAAATATGGTTCCCATAGTTTGGTCAGGAGAACAATCCAAAGCTCGGACACCTTAATGTTAATTTCACTTTTTGCATTTTTAGTCATATTTTTAAAACTTATTGTGCAATTCAAGAAAAAATGCCCTCACTTATAAAACCCGCTTACCCAAAGATAATTTCATGTTAAAATATTTTTAATGATTATTTTTTATTATTTAATTTAATTGTGGATGAAAACACTTTAAATTGCAAGGTACAATTTTTTTATAACACATAATCTACGTATTTTTCTATTGCAAAATCTAAAGTTTCAACAGTTTTTATTTGGTAGAAGTGGAGAAAAATTAAAATTAATTATTTAAAAAAAATAGTTTGGTGACAATGAAGAGATATTTAAATGGAGTGATTAATCTTTAAAAGTGGTTAAGTTACGAGGAATCAGACTTACGTGCTCGTAAAGCAAAATTTCATTCATATTTCTTTCAAAACCGATTGCTAATCTCTTTTTAAAATTATAAAATACGATGTTTCTTTTTTAGTCTACTAAAAATTTATTCGTAATTTAATAAAAAGACTTGTATAAAACATTTATTGAATAAGAACATTATATTAACGAATGTTGAATTTTATAACAGCATGTTTCTTATAGAATGTGTTTATACATAAGCTTTTTTTTAACTTTATTTGTTAGTTTGTTCTTTAAATAATTGATAAAATTTCAATAATATACAAATGTAAGCATAGATTTAGAATAATATATTTATCAATTTCTTCAATATATATTGTAAAATCATTAATACGAATACGAGGTCAACTTTTTTAAGCACCTTAAAATTTCTCAACGTCTTTTATATCGTTCTAATCTTACTATTATTCTTTTCCAACTATTTAATTACATTTTTTAAATATTTCTCAAAATCTTATTCTTTACGCTACCAAGTACATTATTTTTCCATTAATATACTAATCAATTGCTTTAATACTTTAATTTATGTTTTTCTTTAAAATAAAATTCCTTTTTATATTATTATTGTGTTTTTATTGAAAGAAAACTCAGAATTATTGCCAGCTAGCTGAGAATTAAATCTTGATACGAATTTAAAAATATTCTGTTGATCACACAAAATTAGTCGATGCAAAACAGCTGACTATTTACTAAGCATACTACTGTTTTCGAAAAATGTTTCTTATTTATTTGAATAATGAAAAGTTATAGCGTATGTGTGCACAGCCAAAAAAATTTTCCTTGCTTTGTTTTTTAAATGAACAAAAAAAACTATGGATATAAAATTTTATTTTGACGTTCGAAGTTATTCCTGCTTACTAACTTTAGGAAAGTTGCCCTTTTCTTTTAAAAAGTTGTTATTATTATTTCTCAACTTAAGCACAATTAAAAAAAATATTGCTATATCAGGAAAACGCTCGATTTGCTTTGTTTTGTTAAACAGTTACTAAAAGGAAATATTGTAAATGGATTCCAAACTTGTGCTATTTTTGGAATTATCATCTCAAAAATTGTTCTTTTTCTACCATTATGATTTTTTTCTAATTAAATAACCAATAAGAATAGTTTTAACGCACGTTTTAAAGAAATTATAAGTGTATATACATTGGTCTAATATTTCGTAATAAGGAAACAAGAATATTAATGATCATTAATAATTGTTTCATTAAACCAAACTAGTCATATAAAGCAAAAACCATGGCCCTAGTAAGCAGCCAAAAACAAAATTATTATGAATTATAATATTTTAACATTTTTTTTAAATTCTGTAACCATGCTATTTAAACTCAATATGCTATTCAAACTGCAATATGTTTTTGTTTGAATCAAAATATTGACATTTTTTTATATTTTTCACAGTTAACATACATCAACAAAATTAAAGAATCTTTCTAAATATTTGAAAAAATTTTTACAAACAGCGAATCTCTAAGGATACTTCAGTGAATCTTTAAAAAATAATTTAGCACAATTTACGAGTTAGTTTATTCTCTACATACCCCCCCTATATATATTATATCAAAATGATTTTAAAATACCACTTAGCATTTACTAAGTTTTTCCAATTTCATTGAAAAGAAATACCGTGAATTTTATAAAACCTTCTGATTGTACATCAGAATCGCTATCTTTATTAGGCCCTCAAAATTTTTTGCAGGATTTTTTTCTTCTTCTTCTTTCCCTTATCTAAAAGAGTCTGAGGATTAAAATCAATTATCCCTACAACTCTTCATACATTTATAATAACTTATATAAACTTGGTTTTAGAACAAAATTTTCATACAGATAACGTTAAAACAGCTTTAAAAAATGTCAGATAATCAATTCAACGTTAAGGTTCTAAAATCTTGGAAAATCATAACTAATTGCGAAAGGAAGAAAATTGTGGTTGTATCACTGCAATCACTGGTTACCCATTGGTCAAATATTTTTTTTTCTTCCTTAATAGACTTTTATGAACGAAAAAAACATCTAGTCAGTGGTAACAAAAACTGCATCAATTGATTTGTCCTCTAATCGTTGTTCTTTGATTTTTAATTCCAGCTTAATATACGTTTCTTAAAACGTAACAAAATAAAAACTTAGCTTGGAAAACAATCAACTCCATGAAATTCCAAAATTATCGTCTGCTTTTTTATTTGATTTTGCTCTGACTATTTTTTATTAATGCTTATGTTAGCCTTATTTTTTATGACATGTGGAATTCTATTTTTGTAATTATGGTTTTTACGTTGATAGAAGTTGTTCAAAATGTTGTGAAAAAAAATTATTTTCAAAAAATCAAACAGCGGTCGCTATAGCAACACATGCAAGGACGACGCGTGCGCACTATTTACTACTACTCTTGAACACAGTTGAAAAGTCCATATAAGGTGCCCACGCCATCAAGTCCAAAACAACACCCATTTTGACAATGGGTACCAATTTATTAACCGATTCAAATTTTATTTTAAAGGGATTTAAAAGAAAACTCTGTTTTCTTTGACCAGAAAGCCGATCCAAAAATTCTCCTCTTGGTTGCTTAGCAATAGAGACACTCGATGTTTTGCAGTCTTGTCATTCATTTAGTTTCAATTGATTTCAATTGTTTCACTTTTTATGGTGAGGAAATTTGACATTTTTTTAAACTTTTGTCATTTATATAAATCTTTATTGATACCCAATTTTTTCGAAATTTTGTCTACCCCACCCCCCTTCACTATTTCAAGGGTCAGGATTCCAAATATGTAAAAAAAATGTATGTTTTTTCAGAGAAAGTAGGTTTACGTGGCTGATTTCGTAACTTAATTAATAGTTAGCATAGTTGAGGTCACCCCTAGAAACCATTATGATTGTCACTTAGTTCGTGAAAATTCGATCATTAGAACAAAAGTTATTCAGGGTGATAATATTTGGATATTTTATCATGCTGAAACCATTTTTGGATAGAACCTAATTGGTTAAACCACCCGTGACGCAGCTTGCAAGTGTCCATTTAAAATTTTCTTTTCTAACTTCCTTATTGTCCCACCGACCTTATTACTAAAGCTCCTGGGGTACTTTTTCCCTCATTAGATTCTTCATAAATTACTACTATTCATCTCAACAGAATCTGTGCTTGTTTCTCACAGTCAATATTGGGTTAAAACCTGTCCCAGAAATCATCTTTCAGTAATAAATCAGAAAATTTTATACTGAAAGATGATTACTGAAATCAGACGATCGTCTGATTTCTGTATTAAATCAGACGATTTCATCTGATTTTCAGTATTAAATCAGCCGATTTCATCTGATTTTCAGTATTAAATCAGATGACGATTCAGAAAATGCTATTCTCATAGTTATAAGATAAAATGACAACAATGAAAATCCAAATGCAATACAAATAAACACAAAATGTCCTTTCATCCATCTTTCGGTATTAAAAAAAATATCGCTATTTTTTTAACCTCTCTTATGGGTGGATGATTGTGAAAGAATATTTTGACCCAAAGCACCTTTCCCGTATCTGATAACACTGGAAAACTAATTTTGCAATTCACAGAAGAAAATAATCTTACTGCATATATGACTGTCATAGCGTTAAAAGGATTCTCTTTTTATGATGTTGATTCTTAGACATTATTGTTATTGATTTAGTTATTATAACTCATTTTTTCTTTTCAGCTTTGATTATGAATTGAGTCATAAAATTGTACGGCAACAACTGAATGAACTAGCAGAAGAAGATGACAATATCCCGGTCCAGTTGAGAGCATACCAAGTACTGTGTCTCTACATGGGCTTCTTGTACGGAAAGAAGCACCCCTCTTTTGATTACGCAATTATTCTTCTCATTCTATGGAGTTCCATTCCGGATCCCTTTCTGACCTTCGATGACTTCGAGAAAAGCTTCGCTTGGATGGATTTAGACACCCTGATGAAAACAACTAAAGCCTGGGAATGGTACTACGTATTGGTGAGAGGTCCAGACAGCCAAGAGGATGGGCCAAGATCATTACAGCATCTCGCCAGGTGTACCATTAGGCACAGTTTGAAGGAGTGCTTTCAGCTGCCCAACGGAATCGAAAGGTTGGACATTCCCAAGCGTCTAAAGCAATATTTAACCTTGGGAGACTTTAAAAGTGGACTCACTCTTAATGGAGAAGAAAATAATATGATTGAGACTTTATTTCAATACCGCCAACAGTTTTTGCAATAAAATTCTTATAACTTCGTAGCTTTTATAGTGTTGATCAATATTTTTATTTCAATGCTTTATTTTCCTTATTTTTCTAGCCTTTTTTCTGTACACATGCATCATACGAGAAAAATGTAAATACTATTTTATTTCGGGAGATGTCAAAAAATCGCCAAATTATCATTAACGCAGATGCTATTTTATTAATTTATTTTACAATAGGTTTTGAACAACAGAAAAATTATATACCTTACAATAAAAAAT